TTGCAGGTGACATCTGGGGCGGTATACTATGGGGATCTTGTGTCAACTAGGGTGAATTGCCGTGCGTTTAGGGCGATTGCTTTGCTATATTTTCTTTACCCTAATGGATTTCTTCTTAGCAACTACATTGTAGTTGTTTATTATGGATTGATTATTTTTTTATATTCTAATTGAGTTGCTATTTATTTCATTCTGTAAAGTAAATCAGCGCATAAAACTATGCAATAATTTAAGAATTGTTGCTAAAAAAATATATAACCTGTGATTACAAGAAAATCCCAAACTTCAAGTCGGATGACATTTCAATCAGAAACTGTCGCTGTTAATTCTGTCTATCTATTTAATCTGTCATATCTATTGGCCGTATGATACTCACACCAATGCGTAAAGATTCTAATAAAAAGTATTTCCTGTGACATGTTTTGTTAATGATGAATATGGAGGGAGAGGCAAGGAGAACCATCTCTGTGTATGAAAACCCTGTATAGCCTGGGATAGTACTAGACTGCAAAAATTATCAATGAGTTTCACAGACAATAAATAACTTTCAGACAGTAAAAGTATTTTAATATTTTAACTCAACACCCTTCACTTCGTCTACAACAGCTATGTTCATATCGTAGTTTTTCGTACGCACGCAACCTCTATTTTCAGTATGCAGCCGGACACTTTTTCAACTTCCCCCATATAAGATGGTTCTTCTTACCTTTACGCTCCATAATGATGAAGAAGACACAAGTTGATAATTAACATGTAATTAATATGAAGTAAAGTTTTATTATTTGTGAAACATCTAAGTTAAAATATCACTTTAAATCGAAAACTATTTAACTAAAATTGTAAAGTAATAGGATTTTTAAAATTAAAGTAACGCTCTCACACAGCCATAGCGATATATTTATACATACTCGATCAATAATGGTTAATGTATATGAATTATATTACCATACACTTATAATTATTCGCATAAATCTGATTTCCATAACATTGTTTGAAAATTTAGTACTATTTGTGAAAATAATTAAATGTTATACCATTTTACTTGTCAAACTTTCAAAATTTTTACACGCCTAGAGACGCAACTAAAAAATTGAGTTGGTGTGAAGGATGTTTGACATCCAGTTCGCAAGAAACTGATTACATCACATATTAAATTTTGCTATAAGCGTTCATATAAAAGGTTACATTAATGTATGATAACATTATTAGTAAATACTTCTACATGATTACAATCATTTTTTAACCCCCGACGCGGGAGTTATAAGTTTAACGTGTCTGTCTGTGTGTGTATGTATGTCTCTGGCATCGTAGCTCCCGAACGGATGAACCGATTTTGATTTTGTTTTTTGTTTAAAGGTGAATTAGTCGGGAGTGTTTTAAGTTATATTTGATGAAAATCGGTCCAAGAATGCCGCCGCCACAAAATGGCGGATTACATAATTTTCTACTAAACGCCCTCAATTTGGGTATCAAATGAAAGAACTTGACTAGTAGAAATAATATACAGTACAAAAATTTCAAATCCAAGATGTGTGTCGAGGGTTTTTTTAAATGTTTAATTTAATTTTTCTTTACAACAGTAAATAAATATACAGGGCATCACGCATGCAAATTTTAACCAAAATCTTTCACAAAAAAATAAATAGAACAGGTGAATCATATTACATCTTCATAATAATCAGATACAATACAGAACAAAGTTCATGCCCTAGCCTGGTAAAATTGCTAAAAAGGTTCCACTTTCTTTGTCTTTCTGACTTTGTCTTTCACTCTATGCTTTTCAGATAAACTGAAATCAATCGTAAGAAATGAACTATAAAAAAAACTTTAGTGTAGGTTTTAGTCTTATTTCGTTAACCTTCTGACTATACACCACTGATATTCAATAAAAAAACATTCACACGTACACTTTATACAAGACTATAAAACCTTTCATAACCATGAACGCACATATTCCTTAAGATTAACACCACTGTAGCTGCAAACGTGGATTACCCTCCCTACACGTTCATAAAATTCTTAAGTATTTCATATCGTTTATATTTATGATTAGCGTCCAATATCGACCGCTTTACCTTGAAAGCACTTAAGCGCTATTGATAACTCCTATCCAAAAAATTCTAAAGGCATCTTAAATTGAACTCGTTTTTGCACCCAAGAGCCCATCTCGACTTTCTACGGCCGTTAAGTGGCCTAACGTCACACTCTCCCGAAATTGCTGTTTATAAACAACATTAAAATATTTTATAGTAAGTTACAAAGGACGGCAGGTTGAAATAACTCCTGGAACTTTTTAATAGACATGTAGTATAAGTCACAGTGAAATGGGTTCTGTAATATCGAAGTGCTGTCAAAGAGTAGACTCATTTTAATATTTATGACCAGAATATAATACCAAGACGATCTTAGTATTGTTTTATGTTGATTTCTTTTTTATAATCGCCAGGAAAGGTGCCTTGTACTAACTTAAAAAGAATATAAATGTTGCAAGTCATTATAAACATTTTTACGTCAAGTAAACATATATATAATACTAGCGTTTGCCGGCTCCGCCATGAGGCTTTCCATTGATGAAAAAAATTGAAATCAGTTTGGTGTTTTAGGCGTGACAGCATAACAAACTCATATTCACATATTTATAATATACACAAGTATTCATTGGTTACAGTTTTTGATAGGTGTTATAGTCACTCTAAAAATCTCTTTAAAAAAAATAAAAAATATTAAATACATTATTTCTGTCAGAGCGGGACCGGGAGAGGTTCAGAACTTTCCCGGGCGGCCAGGCCCGAGAACGAGCCAGGTACCGCAGACGGCTCAGACGCCGGAGGTCGCAGAACTACCTCCGTCGTTTATAAGCGCGGGCCTGAGGGTGACAGGTAAGGCCATCTGTCACTCTAGCAGAAGCAGGCCGGTGTGGGCGCGAGGCGTTATGGAGCGCGCACGCTCTTCAGGGGCAGGAAAGTCACATCCGGGTTCAAACACAGGAGGGGGCATCTATAACCCGTAGATGGCCCGAAGTACGTCGGGGTACCAGGGCTTTCCTTTCTAGGGTATACCTGGTTCCCCGGCTACTGGTACCTGGAGACGGCGTGCGGTTTTTGGTCGGTTTGAGTCCGACATAATAACCCACTGGTGGGTGGCATCCGAGGGGAGTACCAAACAGAAAAAAAAGAGGTATAAAACATTCTCACTTTCTAACAACTAACTATCTTCATTCAAAGTCATAGGTCAAAGAAGAAGAAGAAATACTCGTATATTAACCAATATTTCCAAACCATAATATTTCTTACAGCTTCCTCATCAAAGCGATAGTTGACATTGATCCATTAACAATCAGGTATCAATTTGTCGTCTAAACTCAGAAATCAATACCTTCATTAATAACTTCCCCTTTGAAGGTTAAGAAAACAGTGTCGTCAGTAACAAAGGCGAAGATTTTATTTAAAATGCTAAATTCATTCAGTTTGAGTACACTGATATTCGATCTTCACTTTTCTGTTATTTTTTGTACAGTAAGCTGATAAGATATATTTCTCTCTATACAATTAAATAGTTGTTTCCATAGTTAACTCATGTTTCTTTAACTATACAAACAAAAACTATTTCTCTTTTTAATGGGTTGTGTAAACCCAACATTTGCACGCTTGAAATATGAAATAATATTGTGATATTCAGTACTTTTAGATAAGTACTGTTTCGGTTTGAAACGACCTTCTAACCAAAATAATGAGGCAGAAAATTATTTCTTCTATACGTTCAAATAAAATGTAAAACAATTGGAACTGACCACGGAACCGTTGAAATTCAAATCAGTCGTTTCTGTAAAATTTATCGTAAAAATAATAAAAAACTACAAAAAAAACTAAAACAAAAAATTGAAGCTTTTATTCCATTTACACATATTTTCTTTACTTTTGAAGATAAAATGTTTGGTTTTATTCCAGAACTTTATGTGTTCCATTCACGCGTACCCTTTGAATCGTATCTATGTATGTTATCAAACTCTCGCCTTCAAATAAAAAAAAGCGTAAAAAAATAGGAGCCCACACAAAAGGTTTTCACCCATGTCCATTTGACCGTAGGATAGTAATCGTTTGTTATTGTTTATCTTACAATCTGGGTCAAAATGTGGACCTCAAAGTGAGTTGTGAGGATCTGTGTTGTTTCTTTCCACAGAGTGTCATTTGCGGCAAGTGGTTAACAGCATTTCGCTTCACACTATATGTAAAGAATAAATTACATCACTAAGGAGGTGTAGCGTTAGGTAAGCTGGCAATTAAAGAAAAAAATTAAAATCATTTTGCAATATATTTTAAAATCTAAAACAAAAATTGGTGACACCTTGTCATTATCTTATTGCACAGTAACTTATTTACGAGTAGTTAACCAAACTATAATAAACCAATGTAAAGTATCATATGAATGGAAACTAGTAACTAAACCTATTTTGGTTAAAATCTACGAAAATATTGCGTATAAAGCGGTAGCTTTCTATTTACATATTACTACATTTACTTGAGTACAAACTGACCCCGAACTGTAATGGATGTTCTCCTGTCGGACGGAGCTTCATCTTGAAATGTTCTCACGGCACGGAATGTTAACCCAAAGAACCTTGCTCCGCTACGAAGATCAATCAATCCCTATGATATCCATTTAGTTACCCATCCTCAGAGAAATTTCTAAAATGTTCTTCCTAGAATCATTTTACTTTTTTATTGACTATTCCACTCTATTTTTTTACTGTTGCAATATTATGTTACTATCTTTGCATTTTTTTATATGAGCACAAGAAATAGTTCGTGCTTTTTTGTCTCCTTTGTTAAATTACTTTACAACCCGAATTTAAGTAAACTCCCTTTAAATTAATTACAAGATCAAGATGGAAATTTTTTGGACCTAGTAAAATTACTGATGTCAGTTATACTGATGCCATGTATCTGAAGCAGATCCCGATAATTATAATTATTTTAAAAGCAATTTTATTATACGGACAGGTATCGTGGGTACGTCATCGCGACATCCACTTGCTGACTGTTGGCCGCTACACATACACATCCGACCAGCGTTTCGAGGCTCAACACAAGCCGCGCTCGGAAGAGTGGGCGCTGCGCATACGCAGCCCGCAGCGCCGAGACTCTGGACAGTACGAGTGCCAGATATCAACAACGCCGCCTATCGGTCATGCTGTCTTCCTAAATATTGTAGGTTAGTTAATAAGAGTGAAGTAAAACTCAAATATCAGGAATATCTTCGTTACATAGAGTATGTCTTGGACAGAGTTTTGAGATCAGGGCAGTTTGTTAAATAATAACAACAGTCATACGAAAACAGTCATGAATTCAGTTCCAGGGATACGTTTTATAAATCATACCAGAAAATCTTAATGTTTGTTTTTTCATTAAGGCTAGTTGTTACCGCTAATTCCATAGGGTATATATTATTCTATGTTATATCAAGATAAAATCGATCGGTTATATAGTTATATAGTCATAAACAAATAAATATAAAAATAATAATAATTTTACATAAACTGGTATGAAATATATAAAAAAAAGTCATGATATGGCTGTTATTTTGACATTACAAATAGATGGTTTAATTTTGTATACAAGGCGTATGTTTTGTTTTCTACTAGAACCTGAAACAATAATATCGAGTGGTCCAGAGCTGTTCATTCAAGCAGGCTCCACAATCAACCTAACATGCACAGTCCGGCATACGCCAGAACCACCAATCTCCATTACATGGTCGCACGGGGAGCAGGTAAACATTGTAATGTTATTGTGATTTTCAATTTATCCTAGTGTTATAGAGTCAGCTATAGATATAGAAAATGTGACTACAATATACATGACCTAACCTGTTGGACTAGTGGTTAGTGATCTTGACTGCTATCCCAGAGATCGTCAGTTCGATTCCCACCCAGGACAAATATTTGTGTGATGAGCACGACCATTTGTTGTATCTGGGTGTACTTTATTCATGATATGAATGAATTTAGAAATATATAAGTATGTTTATCAGCAGTTTGGTAATGAATGTAATAGTATAGGCTCTGCCTAGTTTAAGTCCAGAAGGCCGTGTGTGAGATGAGTAAGGTTATTATTATTATTATATTCTAGCCTTTCACACATCTAACGTCAAAAGAGAAAAGTCCGACCAATACTTTGTAAAAATCAATTACTAAGAAATGGATCAGTCAAAAAGACGTCCGATTTATTTTATGACTTAAAACACTTAATCAGAGTACATTTCACTTAAACGGCAAAATCTAAATTCAACAGCTTTATATTACGGCAACCTTTTTTAAAAATCGATATAAGATTCGCTCGCGAGTAAAAAATGTTAATGTTGAATAACTTTTAAGGTCGGTAAATGCTAAAACTGTCCCAGCTTAAAGGCATTACCAGTGATGTGCGAAGTGTAGAAAGTCAGTCAGTTTCTTTTACTCAATTGATTTCACCGTTTAAAGTTATATCTTATATTATGAATGGTAACATCTTTCTTCTCGTTATCGTACAATCTATTGGTGTAATTTCGTAAAAATACAAAAAAAAATGTATACGACGTAGAAGCAATATTTATATGGAAGTGTGTGCAATTTACGCAAAGGACGACACGGAGAAAAATAATTTAATATTTATTACTTACCATCTCTTGTATATAGGCCGTATTTATTTGATTATCTGGGTTCACACACGTACATATTAGTATATGATAAAGGGACACATATTGAATAATTATTTCTGTTAGGTAATAAACTTCGATTCCGCACGTGGTGGTATATCTCTGGTTACCGAGAAAGGCCTGAAAAGTACCAGCCGACTTCTAGTTCAGCGAGCTACGGGGTCTGATGCAGGAGTATACACATGCGGCCCTAATAACGCTCCATCAGCAGCTACCAGGGTACATGTTTTATCTGGTGAGACTATTTTTTACTAGTACCTATATTAATTCTTATAATTTAATAGCGCGTTGATAAACGTACTCGAGTCTTGCGACCCTAACCTGATAGATTAAAGGGTTTTACTACCCAAACTGTATGCGAGTCATCTCAATTTTATCATCTTTAATTTCAAAGTAGATACTTTAGACAGTTTACCGTCTATTAAGATAAAACATTTCTGCCAAAATGATGGTATTTAATCCTCCTCTTAATTGTTCGGGAACAGGATGTGTACTTATGCATGACACTTTTATATGTATATGTGATGTATTATTCTTTGTTCGTAGGTGAACATCCCGCGGCAATGCAACAGGGATGTGCAAAATCAACACTGGACAGAACAACATCATTAGTATGTTGTATTTTTTCACTCTACGTCCTAAGAAAACCTTCCTTTAACAATATTCAATTCGGAACTTGAATGTACATATAGAAGTAAATTGAATTAATAATCAACCCTGTCTATAATAATTGAGTTGTAATTTAAAAAGCGAACAACGTTTGATTGAAAAATCTCACAGAATAAATGCCAATGGTAAAAAGTCTAGAATAGTAAAAATAATTTTCCTCTAATAAGTCGTTTATATTTTCGTCAGGTTACATGTTAAACTGATTTAATTTCGATCATTAAACATAGGGTAGGGTTATAATCTAATCAGGTTTGTGGTAATAGTCACGAGTCACAGCATTATGAATGACTTTTAAGCGTGATAAGGTAAAACGGATGATAGACTTTACTTGACTTATAAGTCGTCTATTTCTATGTCTATTTGTATAGATATAGAGTTTTTGCCCTAGGTTTTGTTTATGTTATGTTCTCTGGAATATCCGTATGACCACTTACCACAACAGTCGTCATTGTGAGGTCATAATAATAAATATAAAGATAAAACCTATCGGCAAACAAGGACGCATTAGTTGTAAGTATTCGCCAAAGACCATGGTAATCCGCCTCCTTAATGGAGGTCTTGGATGGTTATTGAGGTTTCTGGGACTATACTACGTAGTTTCAAAAGACGCGAGCCCTACATTCTGATGATGACTTCACATTTTTCAAATTCGACTTTTTTTTTGTAAATATAATATAATGTCAAATGTACTGGTTTTATTTAACGGCCTGTATTATTTATTTATATTTAAAAGAAAAATTTACAATCCCTTGAAGTTAATCCTTTGAATTCATGTTGCATTTTTGTTTACATGCTCACTCAATTTGCAGTTAAGTGTGCTGTGTTCGTGTAAATTGGTTATTTTAAAGTAGGCTTAAATCCTAAACAATCGTCAATACATGTATGAAGCTCTTAATGTATGGATTTTTTTTAAAGTTTGTATATTATAGTATTGAACAGTTTGAATAATTTGTTAATTTATTTAACAATGTAAACATTGAAATAATTTCGTATTCCCAACATAATAATACCATCGTAGCTACGCAAAACAATTTATTGGAGGAAACCTCATCAAAATTGGTGGCAAGCGACTTGAATCTCAATGACATACTAATTTTAGCACAAATTTTGACACAGGCCTCTATTTATGTTAGTTCCTTCTCGCCATTTAATCCAATTATCTTGACACTTAATTACATGGCAGCGATCAAAGAGGGAATCCGCGTAAATAAACTGTAAATATATTATACCCTAATTATTGTCCGATTTAAAATTATAGTACGGTATGTGTAAATAATGAACGTCAACGAATAAAATTTGTTATAAATTATTGATTGTGTTTTATTATCATAGCTCCTACTTACAACTAGCCCTGCCCCTACTTACTTACTTTAATTTTACTCAACTCTGCCGTCTAAATCGAAATTGACACAGTAATAATAAATCGAAACGCAAATGTGGGTCATTTTGCCAAATTGCGAAGTTTGCGCGTAATCCTAGATTAAATATACTATTATATTAAATTATACATATATAAATATATATAAAACTTTAGAATACACCATACGATAGATAAACGTACTATAAATAAACTAGGATACTACCATATTATCAGAATAATATGCTGCCCAAGCTGCGTAAACTTAGTGAAATGACTATATATATAGTCATTTCACTAAGTATTGTATACATGCCTACATTTCATTCAGTATGTTTTCATTCCCAAAACATACTTTTAGAATTTTGCGGCTAGAGCGGAAAAGTCACAATTGTAATCCGGACGTATCTTTTTTATTTCCAAGGCGCAACTTTAGAATTTTTCAGCTACACCTGAGAGATGCTAACCCGAACGCACAGCGTCTGGTAGGAAAACTTTTTCGGTCCCATCAAAAATCTATAGAAAATATGATCGAAGCTCGTAATAAATTTTAACATAGTATGTTAAACTAGCTCATTTGTATATGTTTGATTGCGCACTATGATCAATTAAACAGAAATCGGCAGCTTGACAATTGCCGAGGGTCCTATTATACGAAGAGATACTTAGCCCGAGTAATAGCCTTCTCTATAGCTAAGGGTAGGTATATAACTACGTATTGGACCGATGCTTATTAGTCGTTTATTGTTAAAAAATCTAGTGATATCGATGGACATATATATATCGTATCTACTGCTTTAAATTCAACTTAGTTTAAAGATACTGAGTGTGAAACTGAGGGACCAAGTCCGATTCATTACGCAACATCGTTATGCCGCGTAATGAATTAAACATAATTACATTTGATGGGCCATAATTACATGACGGGCCCTTTGGTCTAGTGGTTAGTGACCCTGACTGCTAAATCAGAGGTCGTGGGTTCGATTCTCACCCAGGACAAATATTGTGTGATGAGCACGGTCGTTTGGTCTGTGTCTGAGTGTAATTTATCTTTAATATGTATGTAGTTAGAAATATATAATTATGTTTATCAGCAGTCTGGTTACTATAGTACAGGCTCTGCCTAGTTTGGGAGATGTGCGAGATATACCATATTATAATAATACATAATATAATAATATTATATTATATTATTAACAACAAAATAGATAGAATTTTATAACTTGTAGCTATATGTTTTAGTTATAAAAAAATAATTTCACGTGTTTTGTAATTCTATAACATTCACCACATCTTAAGACAATATTCCTAACTTACGACTTAACGCATTTAACTTACTTTATAAAGTTCTTAAGAAATAATAAAAACTACTAGATCTTATTAAGGCAACATGTCTGAGTTAAAGAATAGACACTGTGATACGAATATCGTAGAAGTATTATATATTAATTTTATTACAATGCACATCAGTCTTATGACAGCAAACTTGTCTCAATTGTATATCTTAGATTAGATAATTAGATATTTAATATTAAAACAAAGTTACTGCCGAGATACAAGCTATTGTAATTTAGTGTTTCATGTCCCTAACTAATGTAGGTGCATGGTTAAAATTTAGAAATATATTCCAATCATATCTTAATAAGTGAAATAATTGAGAATCTCAGAATCATCTTATCCTGTGTTATGCAAGTGAATATTTTAATCTACAGCTATTGAAAATCATGGAATTTCAGTATCTTTACAATCTCAGTAATTAGTGAAGTTGTACAACTTCAGAAATTAACAATGAATTCACCAGAACTCGATAAATTTTACAAAATATACAAAAACAGAGTGTGTGTGATATAATAGCCGTAATCGCACTGTGACGTCACAGTTCCCCCAGAGACTAATATAAGTTTGTGAAGTGTCAACATCGATCAAATATAACGATAATTTGTCTTACACTACAACATATATGTACATCAGTATTTCAAAAACTAATACAAATCTACAACAAACTTAAAGTATGTAACAATATTAAAGTTAATAATGTATGTTGAGGCAATAATGCACTTTATTCATTATTATAATTTTATAAAATGAAAAGTAAAGTGAAGGAATTTTTCAAACAAGTGAGATCATAATCTGACAAGTATTTAAGATTTAATTGGGAATGAGGAGGTCGTTCAAATCCAAAGCATTCTAAAATGACTCTTTCACTCCAATTATATTATTTTAGAGAAATCCTATTTTATCTTCTGTGTCCCTTAATGAAGGGACACCTTGAAAATTCATTACGAAGAATTACGAAAAATTACAGTTAAAGTTTTAATTAATTAATTAAGAAGATCCTCTTCTGTGAGAGAATGCCAAAAATGACAGTCTTTTGCATGCCAAAAAATACCTATTAATTTACTTTCACTTTGAATTTTTTACGGTACACTACGCCGCAATAGTTTCATAAAAGACTCATAATTGAGGATTATTAATAGCAAGATAGGCGACATGGTAACATCTCCTACAGGATGACACAGGTGACTTACAGATACGTCTGCTTCAGAAAGTATCTACGTAGCATATGGGTATCAACCTGTATGCGCCATTGCAACAGAATCTGCAGTAACGATTCTGCACTACAAACTACAAAGGAATGCTTAGTGCACGCATTAGCAACCGACATCAGGACGGCTTATTATGGTATTGGTCTACAATGCCTCTCGTTAAATAACCATGGTTCTGTTTAAGAATTAAAAATACAGTGCTTGGTAATATTCGTAGGCGGCGGTAGGTAATATTGGTAGGCGGTTCAATGACACGGAAGAGGCACTACGGTTGGAGAATACAGTATGATGTTTAGCGCCAAAAGGTAGCTGGTATAGCCTTGGGCTGAGAATGCCAAAACAGGCTTTAAACAGTAGTGCGACCTGCCTTTTGCAGGGCTGTAGCAGAATATTGTTTTGGTTTTAGTCAGATCTAAGCTGATATACTTCACCGTTAGGCCTGGTGAGATGTTATTGCTTTCCACGATACACACTACAATGATGACAACTGTTTATAAGGTGTTTCTCTCTACAGATGCCAGATCTCTTCTTTATCAGATCTGCACAAAATTAGTAATTGATTTACCAAATTAAATGGCACCTTAAAATATATGTTATTTTCAAAATAAAAATATTTACATACTTATCGTATTATGGACCACCTCTGTCTTCTGATGTTTTGCTAAATATGTCAAGTAAGGAGTATTTGACAATATTCCTTTGCTAGCAACATATTAAACAATTGTTTTGTTTGTTTTTTGTTTTTTTAAAAAGACAGCTCCCGCATTAGGAAAATATCCTGTGTCGCGGGGGACTTTACAAACATAAATGAAACGGACACAAAGAACACCCAGACTCAGAACAACAATTTGTGGATCACACAAAGTGTCGTCCCATGTGGGGTTTGAACCCACAACACTCGGCGTAGTAGGAAGCGGCGTGGCGACCGCTTAAACCACTACGCCATGCGTGCAGTCAAATTCAAACGAATGGACGAAATACGAGTACAACCAGTTTGAGTCGTGAGTTAACAAGAGCACACACAGTGTGGTAAATACAGTCCTGTCGTAAATCAATGCATTTTTTCTTTGGTAATCGATTTATAAACCAATAAATAACACCAACTACT